AGCAACTATTCCATTTAATACATTAGAAGAAACCCTTAAAAAAATTATTGCAAAATTTACTTTTATTTTTTTTACTCAACTTAACTATCTGGAAATTTTCACTTTACCTACAACAATTTCACTATATAAACCTAAAAATTATCTACAATTCTGACATGTTTATATCTCTACCTTTATAATAAATATCAAGCAATCAACTACAACAAATTTGCAGAAACACTCAACCTTCGACACAAAACATACTAAATTACACTCCAAGTCATTAGTATCAACAAAGATAGAAATTACCTAACTATCAAATCAGATAACAAATTCAATATCTAATTACTTCTTAACTTACCAGTTTTTTTCTTCATAAACAATTCTCTATCCCTTTCTCCAAAATTTTTTAGATCATTTTAACAAATGGTTTGATGAATTCTTTTCTATTTATAACTGCCAATTTAAAGATTCATTAAACAAAGAAAAAACTAATAATATACTTAAATCTAAAATCCAAAGAGTCTATATTTTCCAACCTAAACAATATCTCCCTTCTCTACTCGATACTTTTCAAAAACCCACCTGCTATGAGAACTGCCATAATAAATGCTTCAACATCTTAGCTTTCATATCCTAACTTGCAAACATGAAAATTGCAACCTTGTTTAAGAAAATCATAAACATGATACTGTGATGAAAATTCTAGATATTCTATCGAGAATACCAAGAATTAGGTCGCAATGCATACCGAAGGGACGGGTTTACACAGAAGGCATTTAGACAAAGATCATTTTTGTATTATTTATATAATTATATATTTATTTAATAAAGGATATTTAGAACTTAGAAACTTAAGAACTTGTTATTACAAAGAGGTAAAAATAATGCCTTTAAATATATGTTTTAGAGAAAATATAAAATAAATCTAATAGGTTTTTTAAAAATAAGTAAGTTGTTTGGGTTGTTTGGGTTGTGTAGATTGTATAAACCTTACAGGGGTGTGTGGGTTGTACAGAATGCATAGGCCTTGTAAATATAAATATACATAGATCATAGACTGTATATAGGACATAGTACTTCTATACAGGGTAAGTTAACTTAACTGTAATATACAAATAAAAGAGATAATTGTCATATGCTAGAAAAATAGTCACATGCTATAAACTAACTACTATAATACTATAATACTATAATTTTTATCACAACATTAATGAAAAACAAAGCAAAGATGCATATTGAAAGGATACGCCACTTCTAAGAGAAATCCCTAGTTGATACGTCCAAAGGCCCAATATGTATTGCTTTATATTCTTGTGTCCTATTTAAAAACCTGTATCTTAAAAAGAATATGTTAGAAGGATAAAAGTACAATGCAATAATAAAACACAATAATGAAATCAGAAAGCAAAAACACACATAATGTAAAAGAATACATCGTGTCCAAATCCCCGTATTCTATATCACATGACCCTTTCGATTAATCAGAGCATGTTTATTGCTTAATTCTGCCTTAATTATATTTTAAACATCATAATATCGCTCTATATCAAATAAAGTCCTCATAGATAGAAAGTCATTAGTAAAGATATAACAAAAAAAAAAAAAAAAAAAGAAAAGGATACACCGCTTCTACAAGTTCTCGCGCTATTTGCTAAATTCTGCATAATACATTCCATTATCCAACCTGGTCTTAAATTTTACTTGGCCCAAAATACCATTCATGCCTTTTATACATTTTTGTATGGTTTTTGAAAATCTTTCTAAACTAACAACACCTGGTTTAAACTTGCTTTGTCCTATCCATGCATATAACACTCTAAATAAATAAATAAATAAGTATATATATATAGCCCAGGACAAGATGAAAATTTGAAGAAATCTACACTTTCCTTAGCATATCCATCTCCAACTATTCTAAGAGTAATCCCAGCAATTTGTGTTCCCAAGCCCGGTGTAGAATTCTTGACAACAATCTTGAATCTCAGAGTTGGTGTTACCTAACCTAAAGAAGAAAAAAAAAGGAACATGAAGTTCAAGCCACTTTTATGCTCAAAAGACACAAAAGAATAAAAACTTAGGCTTCTATCTAGACCCTAAACAAAGAAAAAAATTCGAAAAGAATACACCCTGGCTAGGAACTTCAATAACGACATTGAATCTCGATCTCTTCTTTATATTTAGCAATAAGAAATAATAAAAAAAAAATAAAAAAAAAGGGAGTCAACCAAGAAAAGTAAAAGTGGTTAAAACATAAAGAAAACAGATAGAAGAATACATAGCAAGTGCCAGAGATCACAAAATCGAAATTACACAACTTAAAAGACTCAGAAGAATGGCCTTAACAAGAAAACATTAATATATTTATAGGTTAATAAAATATATAAAAAAAAAAATGAAACCAATTTACCAACCTAACAAGCACGAATGACTTTAAGAAATCACAAATATGCTAAAATCGTAGCAGATCTACCTTAGCACTTTATAGAAAAGTCCAAGTTTGGAATCAGACACTGCAAGATGAAGAAAAGACCCAAGATATTAAAAAGAGACCCTAACAATGAAAACCCTGAAAAGACAAAAACCGGAAAAGCTAAAACTGAAAAGAAATGAGAGATCAGCATAGAAACGTACTCGAAGACCTTGAAGCCCTAAAAGTTTAGAATCACAACAAATTCGTTCCACCACCTTTATAGTAAGGTTCAAGTGTGGATGAATTTGAAGTGAAACTGACAAAAGGAATGTCTAAAAACTGACCTAAGACCATTCTGGAAGCAAGTGAGTTCAAGTCAAAATCTAGTGAAAGCCGGAAGCTCTGAAAAACCTGAAAAGCAAAAGATAAAGATGAAAGAGACCAAAAGTTGAAGATGCGGTAGTATAAATATAGAAGGAAATCTTGAAATACTTGTTTGAAAATTTAAATACGAAAACTGGAAAAGATAGATCTAAAATAGGATGATTAGTATAAAAAACCTGAGAGATCTGAAGCAACACAAAACTGTAAACGAAAAGAAGAGAACTGTTAAAAAAAAAAAAAAAAATCTTAGAAATTGGAACCAAGTCTCTACAAAAAAAACACGTTTTTTATACTAAAACACACCAAAAGCAAAGATGCACGAAAGATTCTTTCAACACTTTGTAAAAAGGTCTAAGCATGGAAGAATCTAATGTAATCTTAGCCGAAAGAAGTCTAAAAGCCCCAGGAAAAGTGAAAGATCGATGCAAAAGAGACTGAAAGAAAGCATGGTGGTATAAAAAGGTATATAAAAAAAAAAAAAAAAAGCATGAAACAGGAAAAGGGAATGATAAGAAAAAAAGATCAAGATTAGTAGATGATCAACATACATATATATAAGTGACAATCACATAGGTGACGTCACAAACACCAAAAATCGTCGGAACGAACAAAACTTGACTTTCTTAGTCTTTAGAAAGTCTTAGAAGCCCCAATCTTGAATAATAATCATCTGGAAAGACTCTAAACAAGTGAAAGAAGACTAATAATCTAGAAAAATCAAGTACAAAGAAAAAAAGAAAAGTATAATACTTATCTTTATTCTCTAAGCTTTGAAACCCAGATTGAAGCAAAACTTTAATGACAATTGATATATATTACTTTAGTGACTTAATGAAAAACTTTTATTTTATTCTATTTTATTTTATTTTTTTTTATTTTATTAATTCTCATCCATCTTATCTTTTTTTTTTTCTTCTTCTTCTTCCATTTCTTCTTTTTCTTCTTCTTTTTCTTTACCCAAATCCATATCATATATCTCTCTTAATCTTTGTCTATCTTTATCTATTTTATCCTAGTATTTATTATCCCTAACATCTCACCCATATCATTCCTTAAAGCATTAAACCCTCTTTCAAATTTTTTCTTTGCCTCTTACAACATATCATATCTTCTTCCTTCTTCACCTAATACACCTCTAAACCATTTTTCTCTTGCTTTTTCTTTTTCTTTTTCTTCTTCCAACTTCTTTCATAACTCTTCATTTTCTTCTTCTAACTCCCATATATA